AAAGATTGTAGTGCCGTAGACCGCGGCCATGTCTAGAACGCTTGTCTCGCCTTCTCGATGCGTGTCTGGATGTTCTCATCAGTTCCTCCCGTCTTACTCACAACTTGTTCTCGAGCTTGGTGAACTCTTCCTCCACCTCAATCCGCTCCCCTGCAATCGACACACCATCGCCACGTATTGTACCTATACATAGTGTCTTTGCGTGACATCAATCTGAAGTCAGGCCTACCTCCGTATCTTGTTCCTCTAAGGCCCGCGTCGCCATTAAGACTAACGTTCCATACTGCCACGAATCGGTTGCTGGGCATAATTTCTCGCGACATTGTGAATATTCGTTGAATGGGTTGAGGGCAGTCCAATCATTAAAAAAAAAATTGCAGTGGAAACTTCTAAAACCGTCCGAAAACCCTGTCTTTAGTATGGTCTGGAATATTCTAGATGCAAAAACTGGACACTCCCGTATGTAAAATTACAAGCGAAACACACCATATCAGACAAAACCAAGTTTTATTTGATACACTGATGTTTTCCTGAGGCGGGCAATATCATGTCACGTTACAAATCACGACCTGATCGCGTGCGCCAATTGAATTTCAAAATAATTACTTCAACCCAACAAATATTAAAACATGTAAAATGTTTTGTAAGAGAATAAGTATTAAATCAAACTGAATCAGTCACGGATTTATGGATATTGAATATATATCAGGTCTTTGGAAATAGGCACAGTTGAATTTCGCTATTTTTGAGAACAAATTTTAAAAATATCTCAGGAACTCGTCTGCATAATACCTTTTCGTCAAGTCAGGGACTGAAATATCCCACAATGCAACAGTTTTGATTACAAAGCCAGCGGCCCTCCGCGATTCTTCAGCAGTCTTGTCATGGCGACGAGGGTGCTCTTGCTTTCTCCTGGCTAACCGAGCGCAATTTTCTCATTTTTCTATCGCTTTTTACCCGAGAGAATGATAAAGAACCGGACAAACAGTATCAGAACGAAAGATAAAGATGGATACACGAGACGAGCTGGCTGTATCTGCTTTAAAACCGAACAGGAGAAAGAGGTTTTGACAACATTTCCCGTTTAGTTGCACATGGCCGGTCGACTTTTGCTGCGGTTCGATTTGCTAATGTGGCGTGTATGTTTGTTCTTCGTAGGTGTTGTTAGTTTCGAGTTGTCGGCATCCTGGTAGGTGGATTGTGCCTTCAGGAGGGGTTGAGCCTGGCGAAGAATCGAGTGAAGCTGCCATTCGGGAAGTTGAGGAAGAAGTTAGTAACAGACTAGAGCTGTTTTGTTTTACACA